ATCTGTCTTTGGGATTATGTGATCAGAGTTTATAGTTTTGTTCAGATATAATTGGAGATGAATTATTTACTTAAATTATTCATTGGAATTACAAAGTGCTCATTGATTTTTTGGACTAAAACACAACTTATGGATTATGATGACTCATTCAAATACATTAGGGATTATACCGTTGTGACACTTCAAGATTATTGGTAAATCAAAACAATCAAAACTATTGATAAATTAGCACATTCAGGTAAATTGGTACACCAGCATATTCAAGACTATTGGAGCTAATTCAGAACATTCTATACTTTGGACTTGTTAATGAATATTTAATATGTAATGCTGGAAATCTGTTTTGTATTCTATGGAAATACATTGTTGAATTTTACATACATTGTTGGTTCGCTTCTTTATGTTACTCTGTTTAAGATCACAGAGTCGTAACACATTGTCAGTTTCCATCCCAGTATCTCTGTACAGGTACTAGTCATTCTGCTACAATAGTATAAAATAAGCAAATCACGCGTGGTTATTGTATGGAGTTAAGACTAAACATCTGTCTGGAACGCCAATGGTTATTAATGAACTGTTTTGTCCCTGCGTATGTAATAACATTTAAGACCGCATTTCTCAAAATAAACCTCGAAATGAAAACCAAAACAAAACATCTCCCCACCCCACTCATACCCAACGATAATAAATAAAGCAAAACAGTGTAGATTATTTTTCCAAGGATCTCTGAACAAGTTGAAAACTTTATTTGTGGGTCCTAAATCAATTCGGAAGCCTCTTTAATACATTTTCTTTTCACGCTGCCAGCACTCCATTCATTAGATAGCGGACAGTGATCGAGTCACCATGCACTGGTTATATTAGGCTACGCTCTCTTTTGGGTCAAAGCGCGGTGAAAACTTATTGATAAATCACCTTGTTAATCTCCGGGTAAAAAAGGAATAATTTAGACCGAACTATGGTTCGAATAATGTGGAAATAAACCTGCCTTATACAGGTTTGAAAAAAAGAGTTTTGCTGTTGTTTCCTTTCTGACAGAATAAGCAGAATTTGATCCGATTGATTGTTTGCTTTCCAAGTGGATGGACTTCTATCAAAGATTGTCGACTAATTGTCTGTCGATACCCGTGTGGACTGATTTCTAGGTCGTACTATCGGAGTTGGGCTCTTTTATCATCCAGGGGCCATTTCCTACTAAAGGAAGGTTCGGTTCTCCTTGGACTCTCTAACCAATTTGTATGGTTCTTGGTGATGGGGGAGGGTGTATGGTGCCTGCTAGAGCTATAGTTGTTTGAATGACATTGTCAGCTGATAATGTTTGTATCGCTAATTTTTAAAGTGGGTTTTACAGTTGTCAAAAACGTTTCCTTCTTTACAAACTTCACAAAGAACGTAATAATATGTTTTATAAATTCGGTGTTCCAGTCTTTTGAACAGGGCTGAACATCCTATTGTATATATTTTTGGCATTAGTTGATTGGTTATTTGCATTTTTAATCAGATATATAAACAAAGCATCAAACATGCTTTTTCTGAATTGTCTCCAGTGCTACTTTAAACAATAAACTATAGCAGCTCGTGTAAACATTATTATCAATAGCAATGATTGTTTAATCTCATCACTAATATTCTTCTGGACGTTCTAAATTAGGCATTGCCAACACATCGCTATTGTCATTTAAATTATCATCCTTTGGTTGGTTGTAATTTTTACTCACTTGTATTAATAAAAAGAATTAACAGAAGTTTAAACGAGTCTCCGGATTCCATTAAGCTGACGATATAGCAAGCAAACTATAAACACATTTCTATGTTCATGTCACAAGGTAGCATAAACAAAAATATGTCTTCATTACCAACATCATAGTGTCATTTCAGCTCTGATTGTTCTTTGAATCATTTAATAATTTACATAATGTTTTCATATGAATCATAACGTTGATAGCCCCAAAAAATAATAGTTTAATCAAGACCATGTAATATATGTTTTCTGAAATGGAGGTTACATATGTTCGTGTGCATTCGTTTGAGCTAGCTATCTCTTCTCTTCTAATCCGTTGCTGTCTTGTTTAATGAATTATGACCACCATATAGGTTCATCTGCATACATATCTGTGTGGTGATCTAACCTTCTAGTACAAATAATCAAACTCACTAGCTTACCTCCACCCGATGGAGAAATAAATTTGTGTTAAATCAGACAAGTAATTATCTAGTCTGTAACAGTACCTATTCATCAAATATGACACTCTTATTCTTTTCCATGCTGTACTTTCAATCTCGACGTTGTGGCATGTTATAATTATTACATACTATGCTAAATTGTTTCAGTGACAAATTTCAAATATTAAAAAACTGGGTGTGTGCGCTATGAAGATACGGTTTGAATATCCATATTGATGGCCAAATCTACTATATATGATTGAGCCGGTATGTAATAAAGAGTCTGCACAATATATGCATATATTTTAGTAATGCGAACTTGATTTCAAAGAAAACAGTGTCCATACTCATGCTATAATGAGCTCTGTCATAAATTTTTTATCTTAGTCCCATGACAGTGAAGAATATAATGTCATAATATCACACCTGGGATCTCATGATGGTAAAGAATATAATGGCATAACATCACACCTGGATCTCATGATGGTAAAGAATATAATGGCATAACATCACACCTGGGATCTCATGATGGTAAAGAATATAATGGCATAACATCACACCTGGATCTCATGATAGTAAAGAATGTAATGTCATAATATCACACCTGGGATCTCATGATGGTAAAGAATATAATGGCATAACATCACACCTGGATCTCATGATGGTAAAGAATATCATGGCATAATATCACACCTGGGATCTCATGATGGTAAAGAATATAATGGCATGATATGAAACCTTAATTAAAAATATACGTATTATAGTTATGGTACCTAGACATCTCTGCAACTTTACTTGGCACTTGGATATTTTTCTTCAAGAAAAGTCTTTACCACCCAGACATCGTTTTGATACGTCTTGCCAAGGTTTATAAATACAGATGTAGATATCCAAAAACATTTGAGATTCCGATTTTGCGTTAACCAATCCCAAAGAACGTTAATTTTCAAAAGGCTTGCTTTAACTGAGAGAAAAATGTGATCTTTGAATTAGGCTCGGAGCTTGATGAGATATCATTCATAGTTTTGAATATCTACAGTTTTCAATTCATGTCTCGTTTTCTTGAGTATTCAAATAAAGAGGGAAGACAATCTGTATAGGTTGTGGGTTCAAGCCCCGGCCGAGTCGTTATTTGATTACATACATATGTACCTAACCAACATTTAAACTTTACTTCAAATACAAAGTCTCTTCACTTTATGTTTGATCCAAAGGAGCTATACTTTTCTGAAGTATTATTGGCAGGTACAATACAGCTTACATGATTTTCTGAAACTCAATGCATCATCGTTGGAACCTAATCAGTTCCTTAATACCTATTGCAACTGAGCAATAAATGCCCACAGAAGACGATCATGCCTCAAATGGTACGCCACTGGCGTCTCCACTATGGGGTGGGGGCTGGTTGACATTAATGATTGACATCTAAACATCCAATGAATGAATGAAGAAAACCTTAGGAAAGACTGAGATATAAAGAGTGATTTACCATCATATAACATTTCAAGAATCACCTATCTTTGTTTCGATTTTAGACAATAAAAATTGTTTTTAAAAGCCTTGTATATTCAGTAGTACACATTTAGAAAAGTATGTAGAGAAGGTTGATTGGTTTCTTTTGAGATATGTTTATGCTTTTACTTAATTTAATTTTACTTAATTTAATGAAACTTATGTCCCGACTTGATGAGAGGCACACCTTGCTGAGTTTCTGTTGATGAAGATTAATCCTCTGAGAAATAGAAAAATAAAAACAGAATAAAACACTGAATTTACACTTATATGGAAACCATGTGCTTAGTCCTAAAACAGTAGTGGCTCAGCCATGAGGCTGAATATACATCTTCAAAACAAGGAATTAGTTCAGTTCTGACGGAATGTTTATGGGGTTAGATTTTTCTTTCCAGCAGGGATATGCTTTGTTCATTTATTCATAACAAAATAAATTTGTTTCAAGTACAAAAAGGATTGGCATAGTGTCCTTTATATACAACAAATCAAAGCAAGACAATTGTTTTCAAGCATTTAACCATCCCCTTTTAGAAAATGAAATGGTCTCTCCCTAATAAAGCCTTGTGTTAAGCAGATGTTCCACGGAAATCAAGAGAGTAACCATTTTCAGCTTTGTAATAAAATCATGGCATCAAAAAGATGAAGCTGATTTCAGCTCGAGAAATGTGCCATTCTATCACTGAAGCCATCTGATGCATTGTACATAACACCCTATATTATGGTTCTGAGGTAAATAATGTAAGTTTGATAATTGTTCCTAATTAAACTGATCTCAACGTATTGTTGAAGTGAATAACAATGTGGAAAATTGTCAAATCTTAGATTTTCAGAGATTTTAATTGCCAACGAATTTAGGCCATTATGTGTGGTTTTCTTCAAATGTATCCTATTATTTTCTTATTTTTGTTAAGTGAAGTTATAAAACAATATTTTATATCATCATAGAAAATACAATCAATAATATGGAAATGAAGTGTCAGTCACCCTAACCATATATTAGATATAATTATTTTGATGCAGATATTTAAGTATACAGGTTCCATTCTGTGACTGTTGGTGTGTTCGGTTTTTGAGACAAAAAAAAATTCTATGCAAGCTAATTTCTTTGAATAGTATTTTGTTTCTGTATGTGGTATACTGCTTGCATGCAGCTAGTTTCTGTGACCGAATGGATTGATGGAGTAACACATGCATGTACACACACACACACACACACACACACACACACACACACACACTCACACACTTGACTTTGGAACACGACGTTGTGAGTTAACACCCACTGGCAGAAATGTTCATTATTTATTTTTCCTCCCTAATAAGACGGCTCCAGTGGCCTAGTGGTTAGAGCGTCCGCCTCGGATGCGGGAGGTTGTGGATTATATCTCTGGCTAAGCCATACCAACGACTTATAAAAATGGTACTAACAGCTGCCTCACTTGGCGCTCAGCATTAAGAGGTTATTGTTAGGACTGGTGAGCCTAGTGTCAGAATAATGTGACTGGATGGGAAATCATGCTACATGTCTGCGGCAAATGATCCTCTTAAACTGCCACCATCACTTTAAACTGCCACCATCGTAGCGATATCACTGGAAAATTGTTAAAGTTACGTTAAAAATTCAAATCACATACATTTACGTAATTATATTGAATTTTAATTTGGTTTTTAAAAATCTAGTTGTCGTCCAGACGGATCTGTCAATTGCATTTTTATTATTGTCATTTTATTGTCAACATTTAGCGGATAATAAATAACCTGACGTGGATTAATTTGAATGAGAGAACCTGGTGGAAATTCTGATGAACATCTATATATAGTTTGACCTTTACTACCTCTAGCTGAATAAGATTCAGATGCAACAGAGCAATTTATCAATACTGTGTTCTCATCAGTTATATTTACAGGCAAATCATCATTATACGTTATCGTTTGTTATGCTACAGATTCATATCGCTTGTGAGTAAATCCTATCTGCGACGCCATGCTTGTTGCTAAAGAAAAATTTATTATCAAATTATTTTTAATGTTACTCTGGCGCGAAATGTGTTATAATTTGGCGTTAGTTCGAAATTGTCTGCAACTCCTCCATTTTTTTTTTGTTATTATTTCGAGTATCGTCTTATTTAAATCAGTTATATTGTAGGCTTCTTGCGTAATTCGAATGTTACCCAAGCGCTAAAATTAAACTTAAATTCATCGTTAACACCAAATTTTACGTTAGCCATAGAATGCCAACACATACAGGAAATTAGTCCAATTTCAAACTGTTTTCAGCATGAAGATGTATTGGTGGAATACAATTTACTAACAAAAATTTAATCTATCTTTAGCAGCTGTGCTAGAATTTAGTAATAATATTGTTGGCATTGCTATTTGTTATATTTTTATAAAATTAAGTCATGGTGTAAAATTTTGTATTCGTCAGATGTTAATAAATTTTCTGATCTCAAATTCAAGTATGTCAATAATTTTATTGTCAATTTCAACACTAATATTACCAGCTTCTTTTAATTATATCAACAGCATGAATCTGCCTATCATTTCGGTTACTGATACAAATATTTTACTCCTGTTCCAGTTTTTGTTTCATCAGCTGCTCCTAACCTTTTATTAAGTTTTACTCCATAATCAACCAATTTACCTAATTCAGTTTGTCTGTCAATTGGATCTTTTATGTCCTTTCAGACAACCATATCAGCCTTCATACGTATTTCATCTCGATTGTTTGGCTAAGTGCTCAAACCATTGTTAGAATTATTGTACCGCATATTTTTTTTTATTACGAATAACTTTGATATAATAAAGATCAGCGATAGTCTAGTGTCGATATTGTCTGATAGTTTCTTCATTTTCCAATTTTACATTGTAGAGATGTCTCTTACATGTTTTATTTTTTAACTTACCAATATTTTCTTCAGCGTTGGAATCAGTTTTTCCAGCATTTGCTACTCTTACACTTTTAATATTGCATTCTTCTTTATGCAATTTATGCTCATAATCTTTTATTTTTATTATATTTCTAGTGTCTTTGAACTTTTTTGTTTTGGATATTTTGCTCTTTTCTCCATGCTTTTTTCCAGCTTCTTCTTCTTCATACATCTCATACCAACTCTTAGCTTTACTTTCTGATTCTTCAAATTTGTTCCTTATCTCGTCTAACCGTCTTCTAATCAGCCCAACTGATGTTGCTTCCGATAATCTTCGTTCAAATTCCAGTGGATTATTTTATTATCCGACGTAGTTCAGCTTGTCTATCAACAGGACTAGGAATATATCTTACAAGTTCCTCAGCCTACCTTTTTTCTTCGTCAGATGTAGCAACCATTTTTACAGCAGCTGCTTCTTGTTGTTCTTTAACTAGTCAGAGTAAACCATTTTGCTGTTCTTTTTTATGTTCTTCTGATAATGGTTTACTTGTTTTCTAAGTAAAGCCCCAGTAATTGGTTTAAGAGCTGTAGCTGATAATTCTGCTGCAACTATCTGTCCACGTCGTGCTTTCCGTACATTTTTTTAAAATTCAGCCTGAGATTGTGCAAAATTGTTTTAGATATTCTATATGTTTTCTGTACTTTGCTCGTTTATCCATAATTATATACTATTTTCTATAAAAAAAAATATTAAAAAAACCTAAAAACTTACTGTAGGTATCAGTCAGTCAGTCTATACAACAACGAAACATTTATCTATTGTATGTGTTAGTTTATTAAATAAGAAAAAGTTATATTTAACCGCTGTCGCTGGATGATATAGTTCAATAAATTTATCTTTTGTTACTTCGCCACATTGTTTGTTTGCAATAGAATTTATTATTGTATAAAATTTGTGAACAAATCTTGTATGATGAAAAAAGTATCGTTGATTTTAATCATATTTCAGAAGAAATTCCAAAACAAGATGTTGACGCTCTAATACAATATTACAGATCATCCTCATCATTGATTGCTCAATCTAGGGAGACCATGTGAGTAGTGCCTTTGGAGTGTTGTCTATCTCTGGAGTTTTGGCATGATCTGTTGTGGCTGTGCAGGCCGATGCGCGAGTGACAGTCCCTATTGCAGTTGGTGCAGACGTACTGGGAAATCTGAGTTGCTTGGGTTGCTGATGCACTCTTCTTTTTCTAGCATTTCTCTGCGGCATGCTGAACTCTCCTACCATCAGCGACTGCTATGCCCTTGCTGACCGTCAGTCTCCAGGTGCCTCGGTCCTAGCCCTGCACTTTCCAGCTGTCTGGTAAAATAACCCATTCCTTCTTGTCCCTCTTACACAAATCTTTGAGGCGTAGTCAAAGGCGGTCGACTCCTCTGATGCCAGTGGCCAACTGGCCATATAGGATTTCCTTTGGCAGCCTCCCATCCTCTTCGCGTCGGACGTGTCCCAGCCAGGCTTTGTAGACTTCAGTCTTGGTGTGCACTGTCAGCGCGCTGTTTTCCCACATCCTCTTTGTTAGTCTGGCCATGATGCTCCAGCTTCACTAGCAAAAGAGTAAAGCTGATGGTTGACACCAGATAAATAAAGTTTTTGACTACTTCCAGCGTGGCGCTGTCAATTTTGATAGTTTGGCGGTGGTGGCATCTTAAGCACTGACGTTTGTGTTTTTAGGCTGATAGTGAGCCCAAACTATTGTTGACGCTCTAATACAATATTACAGATACTAACATAAATACCTCTGGTGTGTAAAACAGTGTTGTAAGTACTACCACAAAATACTTCCAGTAATATCATATTTGCCATTCCTAATGATCAGCTCTGGCTTAATGTCAAGTGGAGCATTTTTAAATCCATTTTTGTTAATATCTGGTGTAGGTGTCTCTTGTTTTCTACAGCACATAAAAAAATTGAACCCAAACTTGAAACAAAAAATTATTGTAAAACAGCAAGAATCAATTTATTTTTTTTAAAAAAAATTACTTGATCAGATACGATCTTACTTGCCCGGTGTAAAATATTATATAGATAATTTAATACGACAGTTTCGTATTACTGAAAGAATTACCGGATATCCTACCAATGAGAGTCAGCAGGTATGAAATGATTATCATAAAATATGGATTACAACAGTAGTAGATGTTAAATAATATCATTCATCAACCATGTTGTCAATAAATGTCATTGGATCATCTGCTCATCCTCTTTTTGTTCGTCATTTTCAGTTGCGAATAACCATACTGATCCATATTTTAGTAATATATGATGACCAATATTTTTTTATACAATTGCTTGTTATCTTAGTTTTATGCCAGTATATCTTAAGGCTGATTTGATTAAATTAAATGTTTTTAAATATCTGTTTGTTAGATGAAATTCAACATGCGTTGTGTTGGATTATAATAATACATTATATATATATATATATATATATATATATATATATATATATATATATATATATATATATATATATATATATATATATAATTTTATTGTTTAAATAGAAATATATCTAAATTAGGATATTCTTTATCCGATAAAACCCCTCTCTCCAAATTTGAGAGTGGTAGGGGTTTCTGATCCAGAATCCTTGTTTGGTTTTAAAATCTTATCTTCTTAGATAAACATTTGGAGGAGGAGGGTGTTTTTTTTAGATAAAAAAAAATTAGGAGAGGAATCTATGAGCTGGTGAAACAATGTCAGAATATATTGATTTTAGAGGGGTGAGGGTTTCTGGTCTAGAATCCTCTTTTGGTTTTCAGACCTCATCTTCTTATCCTACTCCGTGTTGTCTTTCAGGATTTTACTGTGGGAAACAAATTCCGGTTGCACATTATAAGAGGAAAAAAACTAATTTTAAATCTGTATTTGTGCTTTAAAAACTGTACACGTAAAAAGCAAAAACAAACTTTTGTTAGCCTTCAGAGTTCAATTTTCATATAACTGTGTGTCACACTTGTCAACTTCTCAGTAAAACCACTCCTGGAATGACGATCTAACAGACAGTTTAATTTTAGCGAGAGTGCGTGACATAAGATGTCAGCAAGAGTGACACTGCCTGGTTGCGCATATTTTTATTCCCACCGACAATCTTGTCTTAAATGCGGCTTTTAGCTGATGGTTGAAAAAATTAAGTTACAGATCAGCGATGTTCCCAAAATACTGTTGTGTGAAACTTATATGTATTTCTTTTGCAAACAACAAATTAAAGTCAGAAAAAAATGGAGAAAAAAAAAATAAAACCAGCTATGCAGACAAATTCCATCGTTGCGTTTTAATAAAATTTTCAACAAGATATGTTTGTATGTATCTGTGTTGAACAGTATGCAAGCACAATTCTGCCTATATATTGCCGATTAGTAAAAGTTACGTTCCAGAAACGTAAACTTACAAAATATCTGCAACAACGAGAGTAAAATTCACCGAATTTTTTATCCAACGATAATTTAACTAGGTTGAACCTTATTA